CAGACACCGTACTCGGATAACAGGACACGAGAACCCGCTAATCGTTGAATTAACGAACCCGCACCCAGGAGCAAGACGACTGAGGACAACCTGGCTAGAAGACTTATGTAACTAAAAGGTAGAGTACTGCCACTGGGCAGCTGCCTCCTTCACGACATAAACACCCATCGCATTTACTTATTACTTGCAGTGGTCAAGTAGATTGTAAATTGACGTAAAAAAAAATTGAAACGAATACTATTTTTTTTTTGTTCTGGAGGCGTAAGGTGTGGACGGTCAGATACAACGTATTATTATGTAAAGGTAAAGTTATCCCAGCCGGTCACGGTAGCCGAGCAGTCTAAGGCATGTACTGTCTTCGCTCGCTTGGAAACCGGGATCGTGGGTTCGAATCCCACTCAGGGCATGGATGTTTAGTTTGTGTGTGTGCGTGCGTTTTTCTGTGTTTGTGTGCAGACGTAGCGTTGCAACGGTGTAGTGCCAAGGAAAAAAAAGTTATCCCTGTGTTTAACTAATTAAGCACTACGCCACCAAGGTGTGTGGAAGAGTATATATATATATATATATATATATATATATCCACATTTTCTTGAACTGGACACTAGATGGAGATGCGTGGCCAGCTTCATGCCTTGGCCGCTTTACCCCTGGGGAAAGAGCCCCCGATACCCATTGGATAAGAGGTTGGGTGAACCCCAGAACCGATCTGGATGGCGTGGAGAAGAGAAAATTCTTGACCCTACCGTGATTCGAACTCCGACCCCTCAGTGAACCAGCCCGTAGCCAGTCGCTATATCGACTGCGCTACCCCGGCACAAACGGCATTTCCATTTAATTAATTCATACAAAGAACACAATAATAATAATAATAATAATAACTTCCACTATGAAACTATCACAAAACTTTCGTTTTAGGCTATTTAGGTACTTGGCTAGCGATGTATACGCGTTTTGACATAAATATTTCCATTCTCATCACGTTAGAAAATGACTTAGGATAATATAGCTCACATTATGCATCACTAAATCGTAACAGGACCTGTAGGATTAGACCCCCAGTACACACGTGCATTAACTTCCGCCTACTTTAAGCCGTTTTATGAACCCACGGTGTATTAGGTCTATTCTAGCTTATAACCACAGCACCATACGTAATGCAAAAACGTATAGAGTAAAACAGAAACTTAGTATCTTATATTAATCAGTTACTTCGAGAGAAATGAATGTTCTTCATAACAAGGGAGTATCCAATTATGGAAATAAAAATAATAAACCATTGCAAAATGACAAAGTAACGACAGGAAATGTTAAACCCGTCGGAATTTAAATCAAATTAGCTTAAAGTAATTACCTTATAATATGAACATATAAATATTACACTATTTACTCAATAACAACAGATCATGCAGGCTAGAGCCTCATGCAATAGTGTTTTCAAAATTTAAAAATTTAAGATACAAAAAAGACTGTTCACAGAATGCGATATTATCAAGCACTTTTACCGGCAGCTCTCCCAGACTGGAAACACTTACTTACACTCTACTCTTAAAACAGGTTTCTGTAACGTATGGGGACCTCAGCTGTCACGGTTTCTTAATTCCGTCGCTGTAAACTTTTTGTACCAATCCGGGTGCAACTGTGGGGACACAGTCATGATAATCTGAACGCCATTTCATAAAGACTACAGGAAATGCATCAGTAGTCGAAGTAATTAGCCCACATTATTATGTAAGTTCGTATAAGATCTGTCTACAGGAACATGAATGCCTAATTTACTTAATTTAATAACAATTTGTCGTCTGGATATAAGGCCTGAAGGAATGAAATGGCGATTCTAAATTATTGTCGGGTTTTTCTGTGGCCTATAAAAGGAAACCCAGATAATGTTTTAGAATCACTCTGTATATTTTCAAAATGGCTGGTGGTAGTAGTATTAGTTGTAGTAGCAGACCCAGTAGTAAGTTAGTGCGCTGTTTATAGCGGAGAACCAAGGGTTAGCATTCACGAATTGCAAAACGAGAACTCTAAGAGAGCGAATATGACAGAACTGTTTCACCGTCTGGAGCAGCTCGGACGCAGAACAATGAATCAAATATTGTGATCGACAAATGATTATTCGTTCAGGATCGCTTCATTAATTTTTTCCCCCTACGGTCGAAATGTTAAGATTTTTATGAATGTAACACGTGGAAGAAAAGAGCTTAGGTCTCTTTCAAGATACTGTGGCGTCACTGTTCTGGAAGGACTTGGGAAATTTAAGAAGAAACTCAGAATAACAGATCCAAGAACCGAGGTCGGATTCCGGGAATTTCTGACTGTGAAGCGAATACGCTGACAGGCGCATCGCGAGCTGCGAGTTGCAGGCAATTGAAGAAAAAAATGAAAATCTATTCAGCGTGTAAGCCATGTTCTGAATCAGTACTTCAGAAATCTGATTCCAGTCCTATATACTGAATGTACAAAAGNCTTATTCCTACCCAGGAGGTCGAGGATTCGAATCTCCGTTCGGAGACTATTATGATAATATTTTTAGTTGTCTTCCTCAGTTCTTGCAAGAAAATGCATGGATAGTGACTTAATATTGGCCACGACAGATCCATTTCACATTCTCTCTAATTCGCGGCTCATATATTCTGTCATTTAACGCCACACATTCTACGCACTTAAGCTTCATCATTATCATCAGCTAATCATCGTCTTATTAACAAATTTTGTCTACAGACCAAACACTATGAAGACTAAATGAAAATAATGCCCCATTGATCCTGTGCAGGTGTTGTAAACCAGCGTCTAACATATTTGTCGTTGGGTTTACGGAAATTGTGGAGCCGAGAACAATAGCTTACACCTCACAATAGGCCTACCAGTGAAATAGAAATAGGCTTAAACGTAATAGTTTAAGAAAATTAGTGAATTTACTCACTAGGGTGTATTCTGTAGTCCTTCAGTAATTATTTATTCGGAAGTATCAGCCCTAATACTGGGTTTGTTAATCACAAAATGAAATTTGGGTTTAGTATTCATTTTCAGCCTCTGGAATTTTGGAAAAGATTAACGTATATCATAGGTATTTCTGGAATGAGATACAATAGGTCCACTTAGTTTTCTTATGAAAATTTGTTGTGACGTTACAATAAAATGTAAACAAGAAAATTTTACCTACGCCTCAATAAAGAAAGAGCTATACAACGTACCTAATAAATAATAAAAAGAGACGGGAAGCGAGCATGGGCGAAATGAAAAATGCCTACAAAATTTTTGTCTGAAGCGCTGTAGAGAATAGACCGCTTGGGAGACGAAGGCTCAGACACGAGTAGAGAACATTGAGATGAGTATTAAGAAACTGTGTATGAGAGCTTGGATTGGATTAAACTGACTCAGAATTAGGATCCGGTATAAGCTTTTGTGAATATGCTAAAGGGGCACATACACGTAAGGGTCTGGTTCGCGAATCCGGCTCGGTGAGCTTGACTCGGGAGCCGGGCTCGGATTAATTTCACCACAAACGCAAGAGCTGACTCCTAACTTTGCGACCCACACACGGACGAGTTTGGCACATTGGAACCCCAGCCGAGTCGTACTCGCGAGCCAGACTTGTACGTGTATGGGCCCATTAATGAATCTTTGGATGCCACAAAATGAGAATTTCATGACCAGCTTATAGAATAGCACCTCATCATGGACATTTGCATGTCTTTGCCCGCTCGAACATTGGGATCCTGGGTTAAAATCCCACTCAAGGCACAACTCTGTGTGTTTATTCTGTGTTTGTTAGGTAGAGGCCTTGCAAAGGGCTGATCCCCCGTCCAAGGATTAAGGATTCCTTAGATTAAGGATCTGAAATGAAGCGAAGCGTTTCAAGGATGCCCTGGCTCCAAGTGGGAGCAACAGGAAAAGAAGATGGACTTTTCCGCCACACAGACCTAGACTATAATACGCTAACACAATAACAGAAGAACCCAAAGGTTCAACCTTCCAGTACCAGAGATCACAAAAGGACACGATTCTGAGCCAGTTTGATCCACACCTTCATATACTTTGTCTTATTCTCTAAGATCCATTTTAATCTTACCTTCACAGATTTCAAACTGAATATTTCCCAAGAGATTTTCCCACTACAATTCGCCCGCACTGCGTTATCTCCTGGATCATTGTAAGCAAATAAATTTCTGCATCCTAACCACAATTCACATTGGGTCGCCTGTAGCTGTATAAGCCACAATGTTCCTTGTTATAAAACAGGTCTATTCTTTCACTTGCCATTTAGTGCATCTCACTTCCAAACATTTTCTGATACTCCCTTTTCCGAAAATTGTAACCGGTTCCCTTCCTTCAAGGTTATAATTATTCTGTTTTCCAAAAATTATAAATAATGCATTTCCTTCACGGTTAAGATACAAGAGTCTTGCCTTCAGAAGACGCAGTAACTCCCAGAGTCCTATAATAGCGTTTTATGAGACCGTCCACACAACACGCTATTATAGGACTCAGAACAGGATGCATCCCATGAAGATTGTCCCAGAGTCTTGTAGTTTAGGTCTGGTCCTCAGACGTTATATAAAGCCCAGTACAAGAAACATATGTGTATCTACACTAACAATTACCGGGTTTTGGGACTTTGTCCGTCGTCCAGTATTCTAGAAACTAGAAAACGTAACGTTTCGGAAACTGGATTCTGTCTCCGTCTTCATGTACTCAGTCGGGCTCAATCAATGGCCCCTATCTCCGGACACCTGTACCAGCAGATTGGGCCCAACTGAGTAGGTTTCACCTGAAGACGGAGAAAGAACCCAATCTCCGAAACGTCGTGTTTTGAAAAATAAACAGGACGATGGATAATGTTCAGACACATAATATTTGTATTAATGTAACATCGTCACAAACTTTCAGAGCTTATCAACGAGTAACTAACGAGTAAGTTCGACCGTGAAAGCTGAGGTCTCGCAGTGTCTACGTTCTAGTGCAAGCAATATAGTAATATAATAAAGAGAACAACATGCCCTGGCTCGAGGAGAGGAGTCTGATTCTGTTTGTACGGGACACAGAAATCCGCCGGTACCAACCAGGAGTGCGTGAAGGCCGGGTTCATGTTGAGAGCTGCAGCAGCAGCTGCGGCCCCAGCGGCCCCAGCCGGGCTCTGCCGCTGGAAGGAGGACGTCACGGCGTAGTCCATTGCCACCGCCTGGTATGGCAACATGATGCAACACACTACACTTCACTCAATTTGCACACCTCTCGTCTCTCGTCTGCACCGTCATTCGCAAGTCACTTTACTCGCTGAAACCTTCTCGTGATTTCTCTTCTGTTGTTGCTGCGTGTAGCAACTTCACGGTTTTCTCTTCTAGGCTACAGAGAACTAACTGCCCTTGTACGAGACGCGGGTACTTGCTGACAAATCTAAAACAAACTGATTATCGTATTCCATTCTTGATTTTACTCTGATAATGGCGTTAGTCTACCTTTCGACAGATGTCTCACCAGTCTTTCGAGTTTCCTCCATCCATAACCTCGCTCAGAAAATACTGAATATGATAATAAATTCCGGAGGTGAAATTATGCTAAGTTAAAATGATTATCAATATATTTCATGAAACATAATTTATCCTCTCACTGTACTGAGCACTGATTCCGCTGTCATGACGTTTTTGTTCTGAATCACTTTTTGTAGCCTGTAGTTTCGTAACCTTGTTCTGATAACCTGACAATATTCCTCATCTTTTTTTTCCAACCAAGACCATCTGCTGGACATCCCAGTGAGGCTGAGAACTTTGGCTGTCACACTCGTAACTCCTTGTTACATAAACCGTGCTGTTTTCAGAGTTGATGATGGCCCTTTTGTTGTGTTGGAGCTCGGCAGTGATGCGATCTTTTTATTAAGCAATAACACAAATCAGTCCACACTAACAACTGCACGAGAACAGATCAAGCTGCATTTTTAACATCTTTAAATTGTAAAATGGGAATTCACTGCAGACTGCATAGGAATATTTGCTCTTTGTATTCTCGTCTGATGAAAATTTTACGTAACCACCGTTTGCATTCAAAATATTATTATATATTGTCCAACGGTAATTTCTATGTGCTCTTTAGATCAAATTCATTGCATATTTGAACAACGGGCCAGTGGCCTTTGGTGTGTAGGAAAAATTTTCGACCCAGTCTTGTCTACATAATTATTACGTATTTTTATAAAGTTAAATTACAGCAGCTGCTGTTCTTGACAGGGAGACATAAGCAAGAGATAAACCATTGAGAATAGTCTGTAACTTCTTGCTTGTTGCAGGGAAGAAAAGCATTCCAAAATACAAACTATTAGGCTCAAAGGCCTATTGTTACTTAAACGTCCTTTGTTCTGAAAACAGTTCCTTGGACAGTTTTGATGCTTTTGCCGCTTTGTCCTCCAGGCGCTCGCTCTGTGTCGCTGGGACCTGAATTTCAAATTGAGGTATCACAAAATGGCGGGGCCAAGTGCTGTTGTCCCAGTTTCGATGAAATCTTGCACAAACAGTGACATATCAAATGTTGACATCCACCATGTGTATGTAGGCTGGTTTGACGGATTTCCAAATACCAGCATCACTGTCAACTTTCTAGAGCCAATTTATTCTGAAAGTCTTCTAAATATTGCGAAATGTGTTAAACTGTAGTTGAAAACACAAGCACAGCACACAAATGGAGAACACGCACACCTACCCGAACAGGGTACCATACTACCTTGAACTACTGAATAGACAATTGATTATACAGCTGAAGAGCTTGAAACAGTCTAGTCTGACACAACCACCAGATGTCACCCTTAACTGCATTGTTTCAATAAGTCACAAGATTTTCGTACTGAGATGACACGTTATTTCCTGACGTAAACGCAAGAGCGTCCATGATGCTGTGACGTAGGAGTAAGTCATGAGAATTCAATGGCGATATTCAACTTGTTGGTCAGCAAAGTCTGGAACATTTCGCTACACTTTCTACCGGCTTCCCGCTGAGCAGGTAAGGGCACATTTCTGTTCCGCAGGAACCCAGCGCCCTCTATGGATCCTGGCTAGCAGGAAGGGGGAGTGAGGGAGGTGACTAGGTGGGGTGGGGGTTGGAGGAAGTCTGTCACGGGAAAAGTCAATGTCCCATGAGAGATGGAAAAGACACCAAGACAAGGAGACTTCTTATGAATGGACAGAGTTGAGACAACGTGGGCTGAGTCTTTAACTAACGTATAATGAGCCACTCTAGAGGAATGGGCACGTTTTGTAGAGGATTATCAACTTCAGTTATCAAACCACAAACAAGGAGAGGTCACGAGTTCTGAGAGAGGACGATGATACTGGTGGGGAGCAGGACGTCTTGTCGAGAAAAATAACACAAAACCACAGTCTGCTACTCTGGGAGTTTCCTTCTTCGAACCTAATTAGTGAAACAGTTTTATCTGCCCGTGGAACACTATCAAGGTCACAGTCAATCTTCATACAGCCATTTCTTTCATTGTTGAAGTGACTCTCTCGTTACACAGTAACAACGCTGTCATTTATCACTTCTCTGCCCTAATTTCATAGCGTCACTTATTAGCACTTTCTTATTGCAAATAACCTGTACATGTATCCCATGAGAACCCAAACACACTTGTACTTTTGATGTTGGTTTCTGAAAACACTGTTTACCGAGTTCCGCGCTCAACCTCTTGTATCGACTATAACACGAACACTAACGATACAGACTGATCCCTTAGACACCACTAAGAAAATGGTCAGAGAATCACTAAAACACAATACATTGATAGAGAGTAGGGGGGCGACTCGGGAGGTAACATTTGTATAGCCTTAATAAAAAAAAGACGAATTCTTCACTAAAAAGGGAATTCTCGGCAATGTTCGTACATCTTCGGACAAGTGTGAGCCACTGATGGTTAGGAAGAGGCGGTTCTATGGCAGAGAAGCGGTGGGCATGTCCCGGCGCGCAGTTTGAGTGACGGCAAGCCCACCCTCAGATCCTGGTTGGTCGCGGGCTACCTGTGCGCTCGCCACGTGGGGCGAGGAAGACCCGCCTCTCTGCGTGTTTCAGTCAGTAACTTGTCACACACTGTTGACGTGCCATATTGCACAGGTAGCAACTACTTCAATCATAGGTAACGATTACCCCCTTGGGTTAGAGGCTTTGTGTAGACAGCACTGTACTATTGTGCCACTGAGCCTTAAGTCCCCGCTCAATATTCGTGCACGTAATATCAATTGCCTCTGCTCTGCACCTATAACAACTGCACTGAGCACAGCTACAGGGGTTCAGCTGATAACGAAATTGCGTATGTTATGAAACCCGTAGGTTCGTTACCGTGTTCACAAAAGCTCATTCTGAAGTGGCTGAATGCACTCAACAGCCCCCATTATATTTACAGTAAGGTGAAAGGTAAAGTTGTATCTCTGCTTAACTAATTAAGCACTATTCTATAAAGGTGTTTGGGTAAATTTATGTATAGAGCCATATTTTTTTGACCTTGGTAGTAGCTGGAGGTTAGTAGTCAGCTTCACGCCCCGGCCACTTTACCTCCGAGAAAAGAGCCCCCGGTACCCATTGGATATGAGGTTGGGGACCCAGTGCCGGTCTGGACGACGTGGAAAAGATAAAATTCTTCACTCTACCGGGACTCGAACTCCGACTCCTCTGTCATCCAGTCCGTAGCCAGTCTCTATAGCGACGTAGCTATCCCGGCTTCTATGATATTGACAGCATTAGTCCGAATACAAGACGAGTTTTTTTTTTATATCGCGTTTTAGAAAACAGGGATCGCCCTGTTTTAGGGTCCTTAAGAATAAATATGAGAATGATTATAGGGGTAACCCTCAGAACAACGGTACCCATTCAATTTGGGGGGGGGGGATGGAATCGCCTTACGTTCGGGCTTATACGATATTTCAGATCTTTCATGAGATATTATACCTAGGCCTCTAAAATCTATATGAGTTACATTCGGTTTTACTGGGGGCATGTGCAATATTTTCAATGGCCGACCTGCCTCATCATAACGGATTAAGGAAATGCATTCGTGGCGCCTGTCAGTGGTAAGCTTTCCTCTCATAAAGTAGTGGGACAAATGGCACCAGTGGTGGCACTGATAGGCCTGATGAATAAAGGATTGCGACAATACGTTGGTATCACTGGTAGGGTAACTATCCGAACTAACTACATGGAGCTGAGTCCACTTTGAGAAGCCGCCAGTTGCTCAGCTACTCTAGAACTTCACAACATTTTATTGAACCTGAATATTCATTTACCTTGTTCATAAGGTCCATAATACCCCTCCATATTTCCCTAAGATCGATCTTAATATTATCATCCAACGTATGTCTAGGCATTCCTAGTGGTCTCTTCCTTCTGTCTTTCCCACCAAAACCCTACATTGATTCCTGTTCTCCCCCATGCGTGATCACTTATAGGCTAGGAAATCAATTTCGACCATTAACTATTCCCAGTATACAGGCATACGAGGTCTAATCTAGGTTTAGGCACGTTCAATTCAACAGAATACGGTCACTGTTGAGAAACTAGTAGTCGTTGAGCTCGTCGTGCAGTTCACTTCACTCTACGTAGACCCGACTCATATCTTCATAGACCTACCGTGTTCACAAGAGCCCACGACTAAACCCTATTCTGAGCCAGATGAATTTAATGCACGTCATATCAAACTGTTTCTTTAAGAGAAATCTGAGCTGTTAGTATCAAGTTTACGGTCTTCTGAGATGTGATGCCGTGCAGTTCGATTCCTTCAAAATGTTGATAGGCCTACTTAGGTACACGGTGTCACATTCCTGAAGGCCGTAATATTATTTCTTAAAGATGAAGTTCTGAAACGGGCTATTAGCCTATCGATCTATCGGCCCTTAAATTCGCTAAGTTCCACAGAGCCTTCCATTTTAAGCTAAGCCAATCCGGGATGTGACCGGGCCCCTTCTTATTTCACACAGTTTTTCCAGGGGGGCTGGAGGGGCAGTTGTTTGCAACTGACCACCTAGCACGTTGGTTCAAGCCATAACACATAATTGGAATTCCACGAGTTTCGGTTGAGGGACACTTTGTCGTGTCTTTATTTTGGCAAATATGACCTAAAAGTTCATGACGATCGTATGTTAAAATAGTTAAAAACTTTTGGGGCATTATCCATTGCCCTGTTCCAACTACTTTCCTTATTTTGAAAAAAATACAAGTAGGCTTATGAGAGCAACATGCTGTCTGTGTGTATCCACACTATTGTTGCTAGGCAACAGCTCGATAAATATATTCCACCGCCGAAGAATGCATGTATACAAGAACAATATTCTTTTGACGCGTTGCTTTCAACACGGTCCTTGTCGTATCAAAGGAAAACAGGCTATTAGTTCTTCTCAGAACTTTTTGTTATTTAAAACGTTGCGGAGAATGGACCCCTTCCTCCATCCATTTGACCAACTCAGTAGACTTTTTGCCTGAGGAAGGAGGCAGAGTGCAACCTCCGAAACGTTGTGTAAATAAAAATAAGACGATGAATCATGTTAAAATTTCAATAAATTTATCTTAGGTTTATTATATCTTTAACTTGTCTACCATTCACAATGCTAAGATGCAACATTCTCTTCAGAAAATGAAGGAAAAATAAATACGGGGAACTTAGGTAAGCTTAGCTTGATGATCTAGGCTGGAATACTGAAAGTATTATACAGGCTGTCTTTTGTCTCAGTAGTTAGGCCAAGCCTTATGCAGGGGTTGGTCTATGTTCGCGAGAAACATATGCCAGTACTAATTAAAGAAGGTTCCTTAAAACAAAACGTTTATGCAAAAAATTCCCTTCGCAACCGCAGCATGCCTCAGTAGGCATATGGACCTAAACTGAATCACGAACACAGCTTCTTAACGGCCCCCCTTCATAATTACAACATAATTTATCATTCAAAGCATCCTAATTTCTGTAGTTTATGCAGCCTATATATCTATCTATCTATCTATTTATCTATCTGCCTGTCTGTCTATCTATCTATCTATCTATCCACCCGGCCGCGCCATAGCTCAAGCGGTTAGTCGCTGGCTTCTCACCACGGCGGCTTGGGTTCGATCCCGGGTCTGGTCAAGTGGAATTTGTGGTGGACAAAGTGGCGCTGGGGCAAGTTTTCTCAGAGTACTTCGGTTTCCCTTGCCAATCTTCATTCCACCAACTGCTCCACAATCACCCTCACCTATCCTTTGGGGCTGGTACAATAGGCCAGAAGTGGCCGCAGTACAAGGGGCTTAGTCCCATGCCACTAGCAATAAAAAAATCTATTCACCCACTCACATACCTACCTGTCTACAGCCCTTTGTTGGAACTTGACCGCTTTATCAGTCTCTTAATCCTATACACAGTCGGTAGAATTCCTTGGATGGGGGATCAGCCCGTCGGAAGCCGCTACCTACATACAGAATAAACGCAGATAGACACCCATTCCTTAGGTGGAATTCGAACCCACGATTCCAGTGTTCGAGCGAGGGAAGACAGTTCATGCCTTATACCGCGCGGCCACTGTGATCGGCAGTTGAAGCAGCCTACTGTAGTTAATTAGCCAACATTGAAATATATCCTGTCCTTCATCATTAATTTGTGTTCTCTTTCTCGGAGCTACACAGGCCCGACCTACTTGGCCGGTAGGTAAGGTAAGGTTATCCCTGCGCTTAACTAACTAAGCACTATGCCACGAAGACGTGCGGGGGAGTGGAGGTATAGTTCCAGTACTCTAAACCTGCTGCTTTACCCCCGAGGACAGAGCCAACGATACTCAATTTATTGGCCGGGCCAAGAGATTTTTTTTTCTCTACTATGTAAAGTCCAGACCGGCTGTGGGGTCCCAGCCAGCCTCCAATGCAATTATTACCGAGGACTCTTTCCTCGGGGTAATGTAGCAGGACGACCGAGGAGTCGGAGTTCGATTACAGGTCGTCCGCCCATAACCCAGTCTCTATACCGACTGAACTACGCTGACTCCTGCTAAGCTGATCAGGTGCTGTTAGACAAGCTAAGAATGTGGTGATCATAAGTTTGGAAAGAAACGCCGGGCCGCGCTTTAAGAAGGGAGGGGGTGACACCGAATTGGGGGGGGGGGAATTTACAACCGATTCTACAACCGATCTCAGCCCTTCCTTAATATGAAGAACGAGATAGGACTCACCTCTCTGAACATTCGCAAGACTTCTCCGTTTGTTGTTGTTGTTGTTGTTGTTAGTTCGTCAACGACTTCCAGCGCGGAGGCACACTGCCGCTGCAGAGCTGCGCTGCCTGCATAAGATAAACTAATTGGTCATGCAGATATAGCAACCAGAACTTGCTGCTATCAATTAGAAGAAAACAAGAAATACATTTCGAAATGCTCATATATTTCAGTAAATCCCTCTGCTCCCGGTAAATGACCGCCTCTGTGGTCTACTGGTCAAAGTTCCTGGCTACAGATCCAGAAGTTCCGGGTTCGAATCCTGGCTCTACCAGATTTTCTGAGAAGTAGTGGGTCTGGAACGGGGTCCACTCAGCCTCGTGAGGATAACTGAGTAGCTATTTCAAGGAAATAGCGGCTCGGTCTAGAAAACAGAATAACGGCCGTGGGGAACCTTTACGCTGACCACGCGGCACCCTCTATCCGCTAAAGTTGGCACTAACTTCGCCGACAAGCGGCGGTCGCTCGGTTGGTATAGTTCGCTTGCGGACTAAACCCACGGATTTTACTTTTGTTTGCTCCCCGTAAATAACA